CAAATTTATTAAGCAAGAGAGTATACCTCACCACAAGTAATGGACATTCTTTCTGCCCCACGTTTATTAAGATATAAGGAAAAAAAGTGGCAGAATAAAAATATTCATATCTTTTTTTTTTTGCCACAGAAATATATTTGTGGATTTTTTTTCCTGATCTCGGGGGAAACATCTAATAGCAGAAAATGCTAAGCCCCAGAAAAAGTGACAGTTACAACAAACTGATGACTTTTCGAGACATATGGTGATTGGAAAGAAAGAGAAAGGAAGGTTATTCCCGACGTCAAATCTTAGTTGATATCTAATTAGATGCTTTGATGATGAATCGGTTGTAGACAAAGATAGTTGGTACAAGGAAATATGACAAGGATGAGAGGTACCGAAGTAGCTAGAGCTACGACAACATGGGTGATAACAGAAGCCACATACTTCTGTAGCCATTTTTCAGCAGGTGGAGGGAAATTTTGGTGTTCTCATATCGATCAAAGTTATTACCAGTCATTTGGTTATTAGTGTCCAACCTTCATATTTCTGTTTGTCCACTTATCGAGTGTTACGCCGAGTCCCACTATGCGGGGACTGGACATCGTGGTTTAGGGCACCATATCATATGATTGAAAGTCACTTCTGGCTGCAAGCATCAGATAGCATGTTATATAAAATGTACAGATACTTCCCGGCCACCATCCTACCCTGATCTCTTACCAATTGAACATGCCTGGGATGTGATAGTACGCAGTTTACATGTACTATTATAGAGCTCCACTCAGAAGAACTGTGGAAAATGATTGACAGGACATAGAGAATCACCCTACTTGACGCTCTCCGGATCCATTTCATGTATCGCACTCCACAATTATTCTTTAACCTACAGAGCTGATAGTTCTCGCTCTGTGTTAAGAGTATTTCTTAAAATAAACTTCACATATTGCTGTTGCTCTCTTTCTCTGTTTGACTAGTTTTTCATTTTCTGGCTACTATTTGGTGTTGCATTTTCTGTGTCTCGTAGTATATTTGCACACTGCTTTATATTTGTGGAAAATAGTTGGGTAAATTGAAATGAAATTTTGTTGAGACATTTTATCAAAGCATGATGATTAGTAAAGCTCATAGTGTAGAGATGCTCCAAAATTCACACTGAGATATAGAACTGAAAATAAGTCAGGTACACACAAGGTATGATTCCCTTTTACAGCCAAACAGGCAGTTGAAGAGTTTCAGTGGCAGTCCATCTCATTCCTCAAGCAAGGAAGTGTTAAGTTTCGGGATGACTCTTGGAGGGAATGGCGAGAAGCAATTACTCGCGCAAGGACGTTAAAAGTTTTCTTTATAAAGTTAAGAGCAGAAAATATGCCTGGCTACATTCCATGCATTAAAATCCTAATATTCCAAGTAAATGTAAACCGTGGGACCAGTTTTGTCCATTAACAAGGGCTCAAGACCCCAACAGGGCCAAAAATCGTACACAGTTCTCTATAAGGTCTCCTTTATATACTTCATAACAGTCAAGAAGCCTTAAAATCTACAGGAGTGTGCAGTCATCCAAATGTTCGTGGCTACTCATATTACCAGAAACCTTATAAAGTATACGCAACTCTAGCGAGAAACATGGAGAATATCGTGGAGCAGGAGGAGCACACAAATTGCCGACAACCCATCGTGCTAAATAGCCGAACTCTCTAATTAATATCCACTTCACAGACACGCTTCCAGAGATACGCATGAGTACGCTTACGTAATTGAAATATTTGCATAACTCTTCGAGGCATAATTATTAACTTTGATTCAATATTTTCTGTAAGACTAGATGTAAATTTTTAAAAATTTATATATATATATATATATATAACTGTATATATGTAAGTATATGTATACTGAAATATGTATGCTGAGATGGTATGTTTATCTATTTTAATAGTATTCCATATATATAATATTTTTAATCTATATATTAAGTAGCTTTTATTAATTTTCCCACTTATATTTTATTTAATAATAGCATTATTGTATTTTCTTCCTAATAATGACGTATCTGTAGTATTTCCTCCTTTTATGTGTTTTTGCTTTGTCCACTTTTTTGTCATTACTTTCAAATGCAGTTACCACATTATGGAGAGCGATATATTTAACTTCATTTGTTATTTAAATGATTTTTTGGTTTTTATTCGTTCACATTTTCATTTTTCTCATTTATTAGTGTATTAAAAATCAGATGTCTTTTGTTTAGTAATATAGAGGAAGAGGATATGGAAGCATAAAACATATTTCATTTCATAATTCAGTCTTAAGTCTGAGCCTCAATGATTTGCCGCGTCCATATTGGATTTTTGCCTTCTTTCTAAGCAGATTTTTCCGATTCAGGAATAATAATACATTTTTAAAATTTGTTTATTCACTTAAATCAAGATTTTTTTTAGTTTTCTCTCTCTGTATATACTCTATCATTCTCATACCTCTCAGAAGGTCATTCACCCTTTAAGGGAGCGATTTTGATATTTAATTTTTATTAATAAATACCGTAATGTTTGTGGAAATTCGCTTCTGTCTGATAGTCATGACTCTTGACAATAGTTCTAGCTCGAAATTTTCATTAAAGTAAACATTTTCTTAGTTCTGTTATGCAAATTTGACTCCATTCTTCTCGAACCGTTCTCCAAAGTCCGTTCAGGGTTATTGAATGCTATTTTCCTAAGGCTCATTTTAATGAACCGAAAGCACTAAAATCCATTGCAGAAGCGTAGGGTGAATTTACACGCATTTCATAAAATAGGATATACTTTATTCCTGTTTCTGATTCTTTCTTTGCTAATAAGAGGGAGTTAACTTAGACGTGTGACTAGATGCTTTGTCCATATCAAGCTCAACTTTATCAATGTGCTTTCGATATAACGTTGGAATTTCTTCTTCAAAAATTGGTTCTAAAATATTCTGCTGATAGAGTAGTGTGAGTTAAATTTGGTTTTACTTGAGACTTTTTTTGATTTTTAATTCACTATTGCAAGAAAATCCTGCAGATATCATGAATCCCTTTGGGAACTCCATTGTAGACTGACGAAGCCCTTTCGTACAGTCATTCCCGTCAGTTGAGCAATATAGAAAATTGATCTTCTTTTACTACAGTTTCTCTCTATCACTTTAATATACTCATACCTCCTTACCTAGTGTTACCACAAATTTCTAGTGTCTTTTACATAATTTTCGACAATTTGCTTTTCTTTTACCAATATGTTTTAAAAAAGGAGACGAACTTTAGGTTTAAACATCTCTCTGTTTTTACTTTCAATCTTTATGAAGATTTTAATTACAGTTCCCGAAGACATTCCTATTTTCGATGCATCGAATCTTTGAGTTGGCGGATTTTTTTTAGGATCAGAGACTTCCTGTGTTTGAACAGTCTTAGGATGAAATTTCGAGGTCATGTTTTCATTTTTTTCTTTCTGCTAGACGTACTTTAGCTAAAAATTCAATATGTTATAAATACTTTGACTGAAACGCAATAACCGAGATTTTTAGCTTTTTAAATTGTTGATATGAATATTTCTCCTCGAAAAGCGCAGTGAGGTCGCCCTTCGAGCCATATATCAATTTTAGGAGCCATTTTTAAAATGAATCTTGTATTTTTAATTTCCAATCAAAAGAAAAAACCTTAGTAGATAATTATTCTAAAGTTACCAAAGTTTTATCTCAAAGTACAAACGAGAAAGTGAATTACAAAATCATTTCCATGAAGGGTGAAATGCCTTCTCTCTCTCTCTCTCTCTATATATATATATATATATATATTAATGCATATAAATAATGCAGTGAGAAGACTCTCAAACACAATCATAGACGTAAATAGGAGACCGCATTTTAACTGTTTCAATGCTGTTGTATGATTTTGATGTAGTGGGTAACACCAGGAATGATTACCACAGATAAGATCTTGACCACATTTGATAAATTAGTAAGCTAAATTAGAGTTTACACAGTTATACCAGCAGACTGTAGTTAATACCTATTAACCATAAAAAATGGCTTATAAAATTTAGCAATATTAGTTTTTCTAAATTTTTAGTACGTGCCACAATCTTTCGGTACTTTTATATTCGGTATTTCTTTGCATTGTAAGTTTCTTTTTATTAAAGTTAACTTCCATGCTGGAATAAATTAAAATGCAAATATATAAAAATATAATTTTGGGATTTAGGTTCTTTCACCTTTTCTGATATGTAATAAATTTTAACTGTAAGTCTGAAAATAACTGCACTGGTTTCAAATAAAAAAAATATTTTGCTATGTCTCAGTTAAGTGTTAAAACAAAGACAATTATGCTTCCTTAAAAAAATGATTCTTATAACATGTAATGAACACTAACTTTAGCAAAATGCTAATAATTTGATTTAAATCTATTAAGAACTTTTGAAAGATTTCTAAGCATTCATTTCACAATCTTAAGACACAATAAATACGTCTGGACGATTAGATATGACGTCATTCCAAATTTCTACCTAGTGGTAAACATCAAGGAATTGAAGTGTGACCAGTTTGTATGCTTATGAGGTTAATTATATTTAACTATAGCTTATGTTTAGTGTGTCTTAGACATGATTATTTTAATAAAAATGAACTTTTTAAAATTAATGGGATAAATAAATGAAGGGAACGCATAGGAGCATAACTCGATAATTTATATTAAACCAGAACTTAATTTAACTCTAATTTAATGGCATTTTCCAATCTTTTTTATAACATTTTTCAATTCATACTATTAGTTCACACTTTTTCTATATACGTATATATATATATATATCTTGTTCAGATTTTCAATCGTTTATAAAATACTTTTTATTCATCCACTAAAGTTGAAATACATTTTTTAAACTTTCAGTTGATGACACTTGATATTAATACAGTTTTTTCAAATATTAATTCATTAATTCAATTTCAATAATGAATAAATAGTAAAAGACAAAAATAATACTCCAACATCATATATAAAAAGGAAAATCGCTGGTTGTGTCTTTGTAGAGCTATTTATAGCGCGTTGGACTACTAATCCAAAGGTTGTGGGTTTGAATCATACCTGGGATGATCTAATTTCTGAAAATGGGATTTAAGAACAAAAGTAACAGTCAAACTCCATATGTAGAAAGGAAAATCGCTTTCTATTTTGCCACTTAATATTGGGATTCTGTCATATGTATATACATATAATTTATGTATATATATATTTATATTAATTGTAATTATTTGATAAAAAGTAACTAAAATAAAAATTTTCTTTGTTGACCTAAGTAGAAATTGACTTAATTTTTTTTATATCACTTGCTTATATAAAGCCAAACAGTAAATGGATACATTTGAAGGCTGAGCACTCTTCTGAAATTGTTAGAGAGGTACTCCAAATTTAAAAAAAAAGAAGGAATGAACCCAAAATTTATAAAGGTGTATGTGTGAAATATTCTACAGAATCAAAAATGTACTACCAGATTCACCTCCAAACCTATATTGGCTTGCCAAGAAACTTTTCTGATAGTTTCATATAATAATATTTTTATCAAATAATCAAAAGAGAATCAGAGAGTTCTTCAGATGAGTTACGTGTGTCGAATTCAATCTAGTCAATTGGTTTTGGATGGTTATTTGTTCGCGAAACTAACTTTCGATGAGATTACTTCTTTTGTTACCTCATCATCATTCGCATCAACGTGAAAGAATTGCGTATGAACTATATTCCTTACTTCTTAGTTCAATGAGTCCTTACTCCTAGGTCAAGTCACATAAATTGTAGAATAAACAAATATTTTTCTGTATAGTAGATACTTATTTTGTGAAGGAAAAAAGGAGTTGCTACATTTTGAGAAGAATGAGCTATTTTTAGATATGAGGTGAAAGCTCATCGTAAATTGAAAGATGGAAAGATCCAATGTCATCGGCTGAAGGATAAAGAAAATGTATCCGCAACATTTTCATAGATTAGGACATTTTTCTTGTAAAATAGTGTTTGTGTGTATGAAATGAGTGAATTTTTGTCTCTTGTGGGATTCAAAGCATTTTTTTTGTGGCCGTGGTAGCCAAGTGAACAAGGCTCAGATCTAACGGCCGACGTTACTTCAGTGGAATAAATTCATGTGACATCATTAGTCACATGATAATGACAGCCATGTGTTTCCAGCCAATCAGTTCAAAAACTCATATGACGTCATAGTCATACGATAGAAGCAATCGTTTGTTTCCAGCTACCGTAAAATCCGGCGTATAACGCGCACCTATACTTTCAAGCTACACTTTTTAAATTTAAGGTATGTTCGACGTATAACGAGTTCTCCCTTTTTTAAGAAGGAACTTGCAATGTACGTTAGCAATGCTATTATGTTTTAAAGTCATTTATTTGATGTATTACCCCAGGGTTTTGAAAAGATAGTATATTTCTAAAAAAAAGAACCTTTTTTTTTTTTTTTTTTTTAAAGTTCAGAAGGTATGATATTTCTTTTAAAAATACAGTATTCCAATCTTTGCAGAAGTCTAAATTTTTGTTTATGCACATCTCTCTTTTTATTTTTGAAGCTATCATTTTCATACCCGGCGTATAGCGCGCACCCTTAAATTTCGATATCATTTTTTGTGTTAAAAGTGTGCGTTATATGCCGGACTCTCTCTTCATTGTAATTAGTTCATGCGCTTCGTTGTTGTTAACTTTTGCTTTTTTGTAGAAACTTTCTCTTAAAAAATATATTTATCAACAACAATAAAGCGCAGAGATTTACAAAATGCATTTTATTTTTAATTACATGTAAAAAATATAATTATTTTTAAATTTAAAAATATTGCTGAAAAAAATTTATAATATTTGAACGTCGTTACCCAATTGCGAAGTTTAATTTTATCTAAGTTTTACTAATAGAACAACAAGTACAATTAGTTTAATGTCTGTTTTGAATTCAATGGAGAACACATGTTTGTTTTCAGGAATTGAGTCCTTTGAGATAAGAGTTCCAGTCCTAATGCTTCTAGATATCCATCGTGCAGAGGAATTAATGTACTGTAAAGTTCGGCGTGTAACGAGAAATTTTAACACAAAAAATAAGATCGAAATTTAAGGTTGTGCGTTATTCGCTGGGTATAAAAGCGATAGCTTCAAAAAATGACAAAAGAGATGAGCACAAAGAAAAAATTACTTCTACACACATCGAAATACTGTTTATTTAAAAGAAATGACATGCCTTATGAACTAAAAGAGTTATACGAGGTAGGATTCAAACATTGCCGGACTGAGCCAATAACGTGGAAAGTTTTTGCTGTAGAGACTGAGATAACATTTCTCTTCACTTCGTTGTTCCCTTTTTTTAACCCTTTAACTGTCAAGTTATTTTGATGATTTGGGTACACAAATTGTCAAATTTTTTTAAACGAAAGAACTTCTAACCTCTAACCTTTGAAGTCTTCAATAAAGTGCTGCCATCTATTGAATTGAGCGCATATTAACTTTTCCCGAGAATCAGTCGGGTTTGACAGAGATGAAGCCGAAATAAACGTCTCCCGATATATATTCGGGTAAAACAATACGATGCACTAAAAAAATTACCCCGAGTAATACTCGGGTGTGACATTTTGGAACACCAGTGCTGTGCCCGAGATTATCTCGGGCATGACAGTTAAGAGATTAAAAGTGATTTATCCTAAATCAAGTGGTCGGTGGTTCATCGCAGCATTGTATTTTATGGGCGGATACATTTAGTAACCGGTGATTGAAAGAAATGAAGTTTCTGGAGCAGAGAATGAATATCAAATTTTGTGTTCGCTTGGGAAAGATTGCTACGGAGACTTGCGAAATGTTGAAGCATATGCACAGCAGGCTTTTGAGTGGTATCGACGTTTCAGGGAGGGCAGGAAAAGTGACGAACACGACAAACGTTCTGGACGTCAACAGATTTCCCGCAACGCCTACAACATCGAAAAGGTTTCTGCGGTAATATGTAAGAACAGGCTTCAAACAACGACGGGGCGAAAACGTAAGCAACTGTTTTGTCATATACTTCTTATTTCCCTGATCTCGGTCCCTGTGGCCTTAGACTATTTTCTGAACTGGCATATCATTTTCAGGGCCTTCGATTCCAATCTGCAGATGAAATTAGAAGTGCATCATTGGCTGAATTAAGGGACGTGGCTAAAAATGGATTCCAGAAATGATTTGATGACCTTTACGAGGGATGGAAAAAGTGTGGTGTTGCTCAAATGTCTTATTTCGAACGAGGATGTGTTCCAGTAGTTTAATTTGAGATATTTTTTTAAGTTATAGATTCTGTCCGTGAACGTTTGAATCCTACCTCGTAGTTCTAGAAGTATAATATTTTTTTCAAAATCAGGGATAATACCTCGGATAAAAGATTTCGAAACATAAGAGCATTATATACTAACATTTTAGATTTCTTAGTAAACAAGTAATATAAAAAAAAATTAAATCAATTCCTACTTAGATCAACAAAGAAAATTTTTATTTTAGCTACTTTTTTATTAAATAGTTACAATTAATATAAATATGTATATACATATGACAGAATCACAACAATAAGTGGTATTTTAATTTTTATTAATTATCATTGAAGTATCGTATTGTCATTCAAAACAATCGTGCATATAAAATTTCAGTTTAATTGAATGCTTCACAACGTGAGGGAAAAAAAACCTTTTTAAGTTTTGACACAAGTCGCCCAAATTGTCGCTAAGTCGCCAACATGGCTGTGTGTATTTGTAATTCTTTAAATAATTAGTTTTAATCAATTCATTTTTATTAATTTTAATTAATTATTGTATTGTCATCCAAAATAATCATGTATATAAAATTTCAGCTCAATTGTGCGCTTTAAAATGTATTTTATTAACGATTGAAAATTCCGCCAAGATAAATACATAAATAAATATATAGAGATTGTGAGCTAATAGTAGGAATTGAAAAAGAGGGTGCGCGTTATACGGCGGATATGCCTAAGCATTAAAAAATGCAGCTTTAAAGTATAGGTGCGCGTTATACACCGGATTTTAAGGTACACGTTAGATCTTTCAGACTCGAATTCCTCTTCTTGTCAGCATGTACAAATTTGGAGAGTGGGTTGCCAATTCAGATATTGTACTTTTCACTTGATTCTAGAGCAAAAATAGGAGGTCCGTTGCCAATAGCTCTTGGGTTGCTTTTGAAGGCGATTTTATTAAACAGTTACTTTAAGTGTTTTTTTTTTTTTTGTTAAATAATGTTTTTATTTCATTCATAAAGGATAAACTAATGGAATACTTGAAGCTTTCGAGCCGTTTCAAAGGGCGAAGTTATTAAATATCTTATCAAAAACAATCCAAATGAAATTACAAATTTAATACAGAATTTATAAAAGTTTTTTTTTTACGAATTTTAGTCCTATCCACTTTTAAATTTAAAACTCAGAGGAATTGATGCATTTTAGATATAATTTTTAAATAAATTCATACTTCAGTAGAAAAGCTTATATATATAGAGTTTATAAAATACAATATACAAAAAATCTTTCTATACAAAAACAAATTATGATATTTTATTCGTATTTCTTTCATGTACGACAAAACATTTGAAAACCTTTTAACAGAAATTTGAAAAGCTCAAGTAGGCATTCTTGATCCAAACCGAAAGATATGTAAAATGCATGAAAAGAAGCTTGTAAGGGAGAGATTTATCTTATCTGAAATACAAACGGGAATTCAAAACACGTTTCAAAAGAACATTCGTTCTACTTCAACTATGTATTTTTAAAAACCTTTGGCAGACGACCAACGCTGAAAACTGAACTTTCACTAAACATATTGTTGAAATAAAATATGTGGTTGGGAAAAGGTAGATTTTTAAGTAAAGTATACCTTAAGTATGCGAGAGAGAGTTTTAAAATCTACGCGTAATAGATTCTTAAATTGCTTTATTATTTAAAGTGGACCAGCACTATTTCACACATTTGACTGGGAAAAAATATTTTTAACCATTACGATTTTGGAAGGCAGACTTTCATATGTGAACTTCTGGTGATTTGACAGCATAGAAAATTGAAAATACTAGAATATTAGAAGTATAG